AAAAGCTTTTAAGGCAAGCTTTCACAAACAGGTAACTAAGACATTTGTTTTGACTCTGTAACAGTTCATCAAAATGTAGTGGCTGAATGCATCTCCTGCAACTTCCTTTGTTTTAGGCCATGGGCCAATTCCTGCCTAACAGGAAGACACACTGGTGGCCAGGGTGGCCTCAGGTGGCCACCTTACTGGAAACTCCAGTCCACTGGGATGAATAAACACCCTTCTGGTTAAGTTTTTCACCAATCTGGCCCCAAATTTTCTTTCATGGAGAAATCACCAACCAGTGCTCAAACTCCCGAGCCATTCAGTATCCAGGGTTCAGCTGTGACCCACCCAAGATCCTTCAGAAGATGCTTGAGCAAGCTCCACCCATGTGGTTGGTGACAGTGATCCTGTTCAAGWGCCACATTTTGTGTCTTGCTGTTCCTGATGGTAGGAATGAATTCCCACAAAGATTCTGGCGGAGAGTTACCYGGTGGTTGGGAGAGTCTTGGCATAAGTACATCCATCCAGAGCTGCATCAGTTTATGCACACACAGCTCTGCAGCAACACTGTCATGCAGAAAGCAAAGTAAATGCTGCAGGGCTTGTATCAGTTACTCAGCGGCTTCTGTGCAATGAACAACAAAGGCAAAACAGGCATGAAAGTGAAAAATACCTCTGATACATTCCCTGCATGGACCAGGAAGGGCAAGGCTGTGGTCCTCGGCATCAGTAGCCTGTGCCTCATGTCCGGGAAGTCCAGCCAGCGCTCTTGGGCGCCTTGCAGGTGTGAATATCCACCACTTCCAGGCAGTCCTGGCAGCGCACAGCACAGCACCAGTGGAATTTGCACTCGCATTTTGTCATCCTGCTGACGCGGGAGGTGTCGTAGCCTCTCCCGCAGCACATCACCTCACAGCTGTCCATGCCGCGGGAGCTTTGGTTACACACCCGCCCGGCCGTCCCCAGGGACCCTGCAAAGGGAGCGCAGCAAAGGTCACGAGGCGCTTTTTAAGGGAAGACAGCAAGCATATGAAAACAGGTGTAGGAGACACAATTGACAATGTATTTGATCCTTCAACATCACATCACCCAGGATTCAATATCAGGTCAGAGAAATGCCTATATAAAGGAAAAATGGCTCTCATATTTCCCTTAGAAATCAGAACTGGAGATGAGGTGGAATATAATGGCCAAAATACTTCAAGGCTCTGCCTGATTCTGTTAATATCATCATGCTTTGTTTCATCTTTCCCTAGCACTTTCTTCCCCACCAGAGAGCAGTCGCCCATCCCAAAGCAGCCATGCAGTCCCTTCCTGCTCCCTGCACCCAGTGCCCCAGGGCTGTCCAAAATAAGAAACCCAGGTGGAGCATCCTCCATGGTGCTCAGGATCTCATGGGCTTTGCAGGGGAGCTCTGGGTGGGCAGSAGAGGGCTGGGAAAGACGAGACATGACATTTGGTGGTTGCAAGGGACACAATGGGCAAAGTAACTGAGCTGCCAGTGATTAAAGAAGTGAGTGCAGAAGCACCCCAGGCATTTGGCATCACTGCCGTGTCCACCCACGGGCCCCATTCCCCCAGTTCAGGTGGCTGCTGAMGAGTGGCTGCTCTGTGTGCCTCTCATCTCATTCTTTCCCCTTTCATGACAGCATTTAGAATAAACTAAGTTATAGCCTGCTGTGGACAGAAGGAGGGGTAGGAACCATCCCACATCTTGTCATGTTCTTGAAACACTCAGCAGGAGTGGCTGAAATGCCTCTGCCTATATCCATGTGGCTCTGTAGGGCACGTCTTAGCCTCAGCAGTGACTGTGCCACATAGGAGCTGCTGCTCATCTAACACAAGCTGATTTTAGGGTACATTTTAGGATCAATATGACAACTGCTGACACGTTATTACTGCCAATTTGAAAACTTAAAAAAAATTAATTGCCTCACCTAATTTCCTATGTATTGCTACTATGAATCAAATTCAGGTATATCCATAAAACTAACATTCTTCTGACATTTTCCATAGACCTGATTACAGTTTCAGTCTCTTCTTGGGCAAGGTGACATTACCTAAGTAACAGCTGTGGTCAATAAATTAACTGTAAATATTTCACAAAGTGTATTTGCAGGTGTACACCAAACATGAACAATTTACCTTCTTAAGGAAATGAAATACATGCAAACATTAATTAAAACTTGCATGAGCTAGGATAGCAAACCAATCTTAATTAATAAAATGTAAACTGCAGTTCAACTGTAATTATTAATAATTTAAGCTGAATAAATTCCAATTTTCTTTTTTTCCCCTGTGGTGTACTTATGGCTGCATGCACTGGTGCTGCTGTCTCGAAGCAGTTCACACCACACAAGTCTTTGCTGTCCCTCCATCCCCTGCTGCCCCCCAGCATCAGGGAGACTTCACGTTGCATGGGGCACTGATGCTATAAAAAATCTTGGGGACTTCTCACACTCTTTTTCCACGGGACACATGATATCCATCTTCTCAGCCATGGAGGTGCAAATTTKCCTCTTTTTGTGTCAAATTTAGGACAAGGCTTCAACTGCTGTCCTGGGGAAGTGTTTCAGCCCCCTAGAACACATCTCAGATTCCCTCCCATGGCCTAGATCCCTCTATTTATTTAAATACTTAAATATTCATGGGGTAGAAATATACACCTGGAAAAGTTCAATGTCAAATGGCTGGTTGAGGTCTGCTGCAGGCAGAGCAGAGGTTGTTGTGTGGCTCAGCAGGTGCCCGTGGCCGCCCATCCTGGGAGCTGCTCACCAGCTGACCCCAGCCCTGGCTCGGGGGCTGAGCTGCAAAGGGGCTGCTGCACTGACCAAGCAGAGATGTGCTGAGCCACCCCAGAGGGAAAACACCCTGGATGGAGCCAGAAACAGAYTCCTGCAGCCTGAAAAATCCCAAATCTCCTTGGGGTCTGAGCACGTTCATGCTGCTGCCTATGGAGCAGCGTTCTGCATAACATTCTTGGGGAGACAGCTGCACAGCACTTTAAAGAAAGGCTCTGATATTTGGGGGAGCATGTGGTGCATCAGGCACACCCTGCACCAGGAAACCAGCAGTAATTCCTGCTCCTGCTGTCCCTACAGATGATGCTGGCACCTGGATCCCCTGCAGGAAGGCCYGGAGAGGAGCAGTGACCCACACGGGCACMCAGCACTCCCAGCAAGCCCTCAGCYRTGCAAAGCCAGCTGCACTGGGGCAATGGGCACAACAGGCACAGCAGTGATGCCAAAAAGCTTTTCCAGATTTTTTTTTCAGGAATCACTCCACAATGGGGGAAGAGAGACTTCAAATGACCCCCAGTGCCCCCATCTAGGCAAGGCTGAGGAGTCAGGAGAAATCAGAGCTACATGACRCAGCTGTGGTCCCACAGGAAGCCTGTGGGAGAAACAAACCAGATCCTTCTTCCCAGCCATTCCACTCTCCTCCATCCATCACACTGAGCAAACAGCTGGGTAAGTTCTGGTGTTTGGTCAGCCCATGGCGATATGCATCACATCCCAGACTATCCAAAATACAACCAAATTCACAGAAAGGGTTATTAGATATTGCAATGGATTTCCCAGGGAGGTGGTGGAATCACTGGCCTTGGAGATGTTTAAGGAAAGACTGGACATGGCACTTAGTGCCATGGTCAACATGGTGCTCACTCAAAGGTTGGACTGGATCTAAGAGGTCTTTCCCAACCTCACTGATTCTTTGAATAACTTTTAAAGGCACGTAGTTTCCAAGTCCCATGTTCTTATTTCCAGAGGTAAGGGGAAATCATACAGCATTAAAGGACAATCTAAGTGGGATCCACTAGAGTTTTGCCACCAACTTCAACAACAAAATTATTTCCACCACTAAGAGACAGACAGAAACTGGTATCTTCTTATGCTGCCCACAAAGCACATCAACATTTACCACACCACTAGGATAGGGAACTAAATTATCCACAGATTRTGAAAAGAAAAAAATTATCCACAAAAGTGAAAACAAGCTCATATAAAGACTTAGTTTCTGAGCAGAACCAGGTGTTTTTTTGTTTGTTTGTTTTTTGTTTGTTTTTTTTTTAATTCAAAGAGCATCTTCAGAATCTCTGCATCTTTTCTAGTGAGAAAAGAAATGAACAATAACCAGCAGTGAAGAGCCCCAGGTTACTGCGCTCCTTGGCAAGTCTCTAAGTGATGAAGGCAGCAGAAGACACTGCACAAAATAAGGTAGAGTATTCTAATRTTTTCCTGCTACCTGCAATGCACCTCCTCAGCGCTTTAGAGGCAGGAGTATGTTCTAACTTGCAAAACGTTTTTGTACAATCTCTTTGTTTTAATTTCAAATGTTGGAATTGCCATACCTACATACATTTTACCTGCCAAAACATCCACAGCTTTTCACACTGCTAACAGTACACAATTGGCAACAGTACAGCCTGTACATCAAGCCGTTTCTTCATGGTTTGCACAGCTGTTTTCTGATGTCAACATGTGTTGTGTTAAAAAATATTTTTTTCCATTCTTAAAGGCCTAATATGTATTTATTCCTTTATAATGTGAGGTATTTCCTTCTACTTCTATTGATTAAAATCTGGTGTCAAGCAATAACATCCATTACTAGACTTTCAAACAACAGATGCAAAAAAAGAAAAAAAATCCAAAAAATGTGCAAAACCAGTGAAATCCCCAGCAATAGTTTTCCCACAAGTGTTTTTGGGGAAAAAAAAAATTTAAAATATTCACAGAAAAGTAGCTCTGAAGCTACTGATCCTATATGCAACACCCAGTACAGAAGGGCTGGAGAGAACAGGCAGTTCACATTGCAGGCAGATATGTCTGGAGGGGCTGGGATTTCACAGGCCAGCCCTAAAGAGATGGCAATGTGTTGATGAAAACAGCTAATCCAGATCTAGTTTCAAATAAACCTGTCTTGTTCTAATTCCCATAGCTCCTGAGAGCCTTCCTTACCCCTAACACCCAGAGGCTTTGGTTTGATGGCACTGCTCCCTTGCCAGACAGCGCTTGGAGGAGAGCTGCCCTGAGGGGAAGCCACTGTAAGCTCCCCCACCGTGCTGCACTGGGCTGCAAATGCCCCCATCGTGTTTGCAATGCACGAATCAGCCAAGGAGTCACACAGGGACTGCCTGCAGCAGCCAGCCTCAGGGAGGAATGTGTGACAGTGATCACGATTGGTTTCCCTCCATGGGTCACATATCTCCAGCATTAACACATCTTGCACAACACCAGGACTCACAGACTACACTTTAAATTCCAGCCTGCATTCTGGACTTGGCCACATTCGTCTCAAAAATGCAGCAAATGGCTTATGTGAGGCAGCAAGGGGAAAAAATTAACTCAAAACCAATCCTTTGAAGAGCCCAAAGCACATCACCCTGGGCAGGTGATTTGTCACCCAGCACACAGCTCCAGAGGGCTGCAGGTATTACTGTACATGTCTCTCCACAGCAACCCAGCTGTGCAGGGTCCTCAAACAGTCACACCTCTGCTTGTTGGGGACACAGGAGATGGCCACTGCAATCTAGAAATGTGACCCCCGTGACCCCATGCACAGGCAGAGATAGTAACACTGGCTTTGACAGTGCCCAGACTGGGACCAGGTGAGTATTGGGAGAAATCTATGGACTAYCTGAAGCACATGGCACATGGAATTGCTGCAGATTCCGAGCGACTGCTGCAGCATCTTGAGATCATCTGCATGCAGACACGCCCTATCTCTCAAGCGCTGCCCAGAGGTTTTTGGTTGCTCTGTACAAATGAAATTTCAATGAACCTGTTACTAAACATCTTTATTTTCAGGGAGATGTTCCAGTCAGTGAACAGCAGGCTCTAACAAAGGGTCGCTGCTGCTGCCCACGCTACAGCTGCTTGTTTGTCCCTAAAGCAGTCTGTGTGTCCCCTGCTGTATCCCGAACATGATAAACTTAAAACAGCTTTCAACCAACCTAGCCTGCATGGATGGGCAAACAGCAACTTTTTAAAATCTAAAATGCTTAAAAGAGAAGCTTATAAGCAGAGGGGTTTTAGAGCAYTTTGGAGGTAAAGTAGCACATTGAGGGAAAGATAGTACATGCGACAGCAGGACTGCCACTTGCACAGCTGTCACTTAGYTCCTGTCACAGCTCTATCACTCCTAACAGGTCTCTCCCTATGCAGCCCTGGGTATGCTTGTAATGGCTTTGGGAGCTGGAAATTCATGATAATATAAGGAAGACGATGCAAAGCATGGCAAAATTTTTATGTTCATGACAAGATTTTTAAAAGCTYTCTGGGATATTCTATCTCTGTTTCTACCAAATTTTGAGTATAGAATTGTGAGCAAAAATGATTTCAGCAGAATTACAYGTGCAGGGTTAGATGAATTCTGAACACTTCTGAAAATCTTCCTGTGCTCCTTCATGAAATTTTGAGAGGAAAGAGGTGGTCAGATTCTTGTTTTCTTGCTATTGAGCTACTATTWGTGATTTCCCATATTATACCTCTTCAGAAATCAATTACTCCTCTTTTCCTTCTAGTGAAAAAAAAATCAATCAAATAAACCCCCATTTTGGGGTGTTCCATGTATRTATGTCCAGTTGCCCACTGAGACAGACTGCCAGACCAGGGCAGAAGCTCCAGTGGTAGAAGAGAAGGTATCTGCTTTTTTTCTGGGTAGGCTGCTGAGGGTAGAACCCTTGAGCACCTTTAACTCACTGGTTCCTTTGTGTTAGCACACTGAAGCCACAGAGGGAACTGGCTTGGACATTTTACAGTTTGTGAAGCTCTCTCCTCCTTATGACACTTCATGAGGTTTGCTCTGTGAATCCTTCATTCAGCTGCAATACTAACCAACCTCCAGAGAATTTTTTTTTTTCCTGAAGCACTAAATCACTTGAATTCCCTGGAGAATAAAAGGAAGAACTCTATTCAAGGACATACTARAACAGTGTGGTATTAGATTCAGCTGACACCAAGATGTTCCCCACCTCATTCCAAACTCAGACTTCCATAATCTTATTTCATTTGTAGTCATTTAACAGAGCTGGCCCTCTGGAATGCTCAACAGSGCAAACCAAAAAAAGAAAAAATGTTGTTCGGCAGCCAAAATCATCTCTCTCAAAGCCAGATCAGGTTTTGTTTGTGTCATTCTTTCTTTGCTCCATGCAAGCAGCAGGGCATCCCACATTCCATCAAAGGTTGCATTGGCCAAAAATACGCTCCTCCAAACAGCCACATTCTCTGAATTCTGGGCAGCAAAGAAACACTGCCTCACCTGCAACTTTATCTTGGGCTGAGCCAAAGCACTTGACAGACTTKGCCATCTCTGGCAAATGCACATAACACACTGTGGTGAAAAATGCCCACTCTCCTCCACAATAACAAGACTGACAGATGAGATTAATCTTAGTGCAAAGAGATTATTACATGGCTTTTTGACGTAGAATTGGGCAGTCTATAGGTTCTCCTTCCAAGGGAAAAGAAATCRTGGGTTTAACAATAGTGAGGCAACTTCAAGAGATAAATGTTTTGAAAAAATCCTAGTCTGTGAAGTTAATCTCTGCACAATGCCACAATATATGCCCTTTTATTTACTTGGATTAAAGTATTAGTCCTCACAGTATCAGCCACTATTCGAGGAACAATATGTGCTTGTGCAGGTAATAAACATCACCTGCCAAAATAATAAATAACATTTCAAATTACRCTGACTACTCAACTAACCAGAAACGTTGTACAATGTAATTGTACTGGATGAAATTCTGGACTCATTGAAGTCAATAGTACATGACCAGGAATTCACATATTGTTCTTATTTAAGTACAGCTGTTTTGCAATGTTTATTCCAAGCRAACTTGGATTGTAAATACACAGCAGTGCCAAAAAGAGTTGAGCTGCATTGCTATCCAGATACTTACAGATATGTCATATRGGGTGCAATCTGCTCCATTATACAACCTATTAATTAGTTCCACAACTTCTCTCATACATTACTCAGTCTGACTCTCTTTTCCAAACTTCTGGTTTTCTAGTTGCTAGTTTTTAATTGCCACATCAGGAAATACCACATATGGATCAAGAACCCTTAGCAGGATTCCTGGCGCTTGGCAATGCCCTGAAGTCTGTAACACTGCCAAGTGTGTTTCGGTTGAATCTCTGAAAGCAGGAAAACCCAGTGTTAATAGCAGCACCAAAACTCTATCTCTTCCCACTGGAGCTGGCACAACTCTTCAAAAAATGTGATGGTTTTCATGGACAGAGCCAACACTGTCTCGTAAAGAGGAATAAACAGCTGTGTCACTCAGACCTCTACTCTTTCATCCACCTGCACGTCCTTCCAGTTGCCTTACCCTGAGGCACCCACAGCTGCCTTGACTGCTGCAAGCAGGGTTGGATTGGCAGAAACTTGTACCTCTCACTTCAATGGGGACAGGCGTGCCTACAACCARGGTCCATGGAGAGCTGTGGGAACGTGCACTGCAGGAGGGCACTGCAGCRGTAGCATAACAATGTGGAAGGGAATCAATGCAACAGAGGTGCTATCACAGGGACATCACGGGACTTGGGGCAGCTCTGGAGTGARCTGTGTGACACAAGCATGAGGGTGGCTGTGCCCAGAGCACAATTCAAACTTGTATTGAAAGCAGTTTTGCCTTACAGCATCTCCAGGGCTCCAAAGTATCTGGCAGAAATTGCTGAATTACATTAGAACAACTGGCTGTTGTACATCTAGAGACATCGAGGAACTATTGTTCTTGTTCTCAGTCCTTCCAAAACATCTTCTTGCCTGTTTCCTGCTGGTTACATGCATAGATTTACATTTTTTAAATACATAAACACATAAATATATATGTATTGTATATATAAATATATATATTTACACACACACTCAGTAAAATTTTGACCTTTGAAGCACAAATGTCTCAAAACCATTCACACGTAATGATAGTGGCTTACCTACATCCCTGTCCCTGATACAGTAGTCTGGAGAGCTTTCAAAGTATACCAGGTCATTCTTAGTTGGCTTCTTAAATTTCTTATTAGCCACAGTGAAACCCGTGCCATCTTGATTCATGACCACCTGAATTGCTCCATTGTATTTCTTCCACAGATAATCTCCTGTTTTCCTAAAGTCTGCCATGGCAAGCCAGCAGGTCCTTAGAGTGCACGATCCACTCACACCATGGCATTTGCACTCCTGTTTCAAAAACCGCTTCACAGCCTGTTTAGAAATGCAGTAAAATATACACAGGTAAAACAAACTGTAATTAGTTGTTTCTCAGCCCTTTTCCATCCATCTGCAGTGCCAGGCCTGCGATGGGTCTCCAAATTACGGTCTGTAGTGACACCCACTGGTAGCATCAAGTCATCCCCATGTGGATGGTCTGCTCTGGTTGCTTGACTCACCGCGCACACAATCCTCCAGCTGTGGGTTTACCTTGCCACTCCTGCCAGTCATGCCAAGGATCGATGTGCTCTACAGTGCTAGGACACAGACTGGGCAGGAGAAACGACCAAAAATGGCCAGAATCATTCAGCCCCTTGGGAGATGAARGCACTCCCTTACCCCATTGCTCCAGCAGCAAGGATCACTGTGCTGACCCCCTCTGACCCTCTCTAGCTCATCTTCATGAAGTTGCTCTTTGCACTGAGCAGTGTTTCAAATGTTGCCCAGAAATTCATAGGCATTTGATATTTAAATTATTTTACAAAGACTGTGTAAAGCAATGTACCTGAGCTAGGTATCAGATCCACGCAGAATTTTAAAATACAGTATACTTAAAATGTTTATACACCATTTTACAAACATTTTAGAATAAGACCTTCATTAGGGCCCTGGAGAGATCACCCTTATCAATTTAATATCTAAACAGCATTTAAGCCATTCCAGCTTCATCTCAGACATTTACGCTATCTGTATGATGCTGGAGAACAACAGATGGGTTCACAGACAATAAATAATTTGTTCCTAATTATGTAGATATGGATATTTGATCTATAAATATTATGCCTTCAGGGTTCCTGAAATATGAACTTTTTAGATTTTGTACAAGAGAAATGTCATCATGGGAGGAAGGTAAGAGAGAGGAAAGCTCCATGATTAGAAGCGAGATTGACGTGCAGCAGGGCAGCATTTTTCCGYCAAGCACTTAATAATAAAGTGAGAATGTATTATAAAACCAAAGGACTTTTAATTTTCTTTTCAACTTGTAAATTATATGACTACTTCAAAGAAGTCACTGACATTCCCACGGCCCCACTTCATTGCCATATCACAAATCTGGGATTTAAGCAGATGCTTGGTTTTAATTATCTGAGCAGAAATCAGTTTAACTGCCTGTATGTTTAAAACAACTTGCTGGAATTGTGGAAGAAGCACAGAGGAATGCAAGTCTCTTTTTTTTGTCAGTGATGTTCCTAYACTGAAGCACAGCATGCTATGTTCTATATTTCATAGGGGAATATTATAAATATTTATTATAATTGTTTTTTAATTAATACAGTTGGAATAGTCTAKTTTTAATATAAATTTATCAACACCTCTTTTGGGGGCAAGAGAAAAACAAAGGCACAGATGATTGTACCCGGGTCCAAATGCCAGGCTTGTGAGCAGCTGAGGTGGTGAGATCCCTGCAAAGGTAAATCTATGCTACTGCACTGTGGATACAAAWCAGCATCCCTGTCCACAAAGCAGGTCCTAGAGTATATGAGAACACATTCATTATTTTTAATTTAACATGTTTATTAAACTCTCTTGATAATTTTATTAAAAATCTACCTGCTTACCAGTACTGGCTTATTATTTGGCAGGAGGCATTTTTTTAAACTTACTAAGATGCTCAAGTATCACAGAAAGTACTTCCCATCATGGAATTTATTCGCCCCTAAAAAGTCTTTGTTTGTGTTGTAGACTTTGGCCTCTTTCAGACAGTAACATAAACATAACCATGGTACTGGTCGATGTGCCTATCACTGATCCGAGTAGCCTCATCTGCCCACATTACATATTAATTACACCTGCTGGCAAKAAACAGGTGGAGGAAAGATGCTGAAGAACAAAGATTTATCAGGAAAATCATCTACTTGCAGTACCATCCATTAAAATTGGATAATTTCTTCCAGTGATGGTTAGCTAACATGAAAAAAATTACAGATTTAAAAAAGGGATTTTTTTTAACATAAAAAGATCAGAATACAAACAATTTACTTCCTACTGAATATACGTTAAGGAAAACCAGACAAGAAACAAAAAGTCTCTGTAAATAATTCCAGAAGYGCTTGTTCTAGCACAATAAAACATTTTTTTCTCTATTATTTCAGATGTCATAGGAATAGAAAATTTTTAATATGTTTTAAATAATGAAACAGCAWATTTCAGTTTCATGCACTATTCTTACTATTTATAGCTACTGCCACAAAATATTAGTGCACCTATTCCCCAGCCCTTGCACCAAAAGTGGGCAATACACCTGGCAACTACTCCTTCTATTCACCTACAATGTGAAAGTAAAGAYGCTCTTAGCTGAAATTCAGAAATAGTATTTTCATATCATTTTTAGAAAAGGGGTTTGTTTAGAGGATGTCATGCCTCAAGGCCATTGCCTTTTGGAGGGACAAACATTTTGGATTTATTTTCTYAAAAAGTGAAGTAGTTACCTTTTACCTCTGCTCACTTTATGATTAGGTTTACCATATACATACAGAAATGGCTAGAATGGTTTTTTTTTTTCTTGAGTATTATTTAGAATTTGCTCTTTGTCAAGCCTTTTCTTCAGCATGATCTTCAGCCCCTCTTAGGAATTTCTATTCTGTATTAATCAYAAATAAAACTCCTCATTATTTAAGGATTAAGCTCAAAACAAAACCTTTATCCAAAACCTCTATCATATCTCTCACACTGAACCTCCAAGGAAGATGGAAACAGCAGCTCAGGCTCCTGCTCCCCCATGTTTCTTCCTAACTGCTGAAACCAGACAGGAAGGGCTGTCTGACAACCATTGTCTGCCCCAGACACAAGAGAGCTATCCAAGAACATCTCTAGGCTTCTACTGGATGGACACCCACCTTCCTTCCAGCTCTGTTGTTGTGAAGGTTCATCAGCGCCCTTGCATCTTTTCCTTTCCGTTCTTTGGCATCCACAAAGGCTCTGGCAAATTTAATGCCATAGTCAATGTTATCACTGCAGCCACCCCAGTCAAAATGGCCCTTGCTGTCCTTGGCAGAGCCTTTCTTCTTGGGATCACAGGAACAGGATTTCAGCTCCCCTTGGCTACATGCCCTGGTGATGGCAAAAACAACTCCAGCAGAGGAGATGGCATGTACAAAAGCAGATTCTCGACTACCTGAAACAAAAAAAGTCACTTTAAATAACACTGGGGTAGCTAGTTTGAGGGGCCATCCTGTATGCAGACAGCCTGGACTTTTTTTGCAGAGCAAAAGATAAACTAGGCTGAAATCACACAAATATACATTCCCTGGAGCCAGAATTAGTCATGGCTTAAACTTGGACCCCTCCCTGGTAAAAGCTCATCAATATAGCGTTAGAGTTGGAAAACATTAAACATTTGCTTCTGATATTGATTAATATACTTTCATGGATCAGTTGTTCTGTACAGATATATGAATAGGACAGCTGGTATTCCTATCATGTTTCATGAATTTAGAAGAATATATGAAGTGTTATTTGAGAGATAAGTTTAAGAAATTATTAAATAGGGACACTAAAACAACATGTACATTGCAAAATACTGCAAGTTACTCTTGAAACAAGATTTTCCTCTCGCAAAGCACTTGGAATAGATTTTCCTGCTTAAAACATGCTAGGAAGAAAACTTGGGTGTTATTTTCTAAAAAAGAATATTAGGTTTTCTGCCTAGAACCAAGCCCGTAACCGTAATTCACACAAATAAATTCCATTAAATCAATGGCACTGCTTGTGTCATGCTTGAGGCGGGATTTGGTCTGGCAGCTGGGACTTTTTCATGCCAGCTGCTATGGCAGCTTTCCCATCTCCTAATCAAGATATTTCATTATACCAAAAACTATCTGAATTTCTAGACTATGCCTACTCATAGGCGATTAGGTATATATTTCAATGTGATAATTGCTTTTATTTTAAGATGTAGTAGTTAACAATACAGAGCTGTGTTACACTGCCACGAATCTATTTATGGTAATGGAATATTTTCCTGCTTTGAAAGTTTTTTAGCATAGGAGCAGTGACAAGTAGTTTTTCGTGCAACATCTAAGACAACCCACAGTGAGAGAGACCTCTTTGCATGACTTGTAAGCCTTAAGTAATGTTAGCTCAGTAAAACAGGACCCCAAAGACAAATGTTAATTGTGATTTTTTTTGTAGAGGTAGCATTATACCATGTAACTTAYTATTTAGTATTTCAATTCCAGTAGCACCATTATGTTTCATTTACAAATGGGCCGTGAACTTCCACATGCTGTGCAAACCTTTTGCAAATGGCAACTAAAAGCTTAAAAGGGGGCTTGGCAAACCATGCCTTCCCAGACTGCCTTCAAAATCAGGCAGAAGTTACAATGACTTGTTACATATCACACTCTTTTGAAGACTTATTAGTSAGAAAACTAATTCAGAACATCAAAAATTTGTGAAGTGTTACTTAGAAAGAAGCACTTGGTATTGTTGGAAGAGAAATGTTTTGAGTTTATTGAACTAATCAAAACCTTTTAATTTTATTAGAGAACTATCAAGCTACATTTCCATGGCAATCACAKCCCGGTGTAGAGCTCTGAAGCCTGATGCTGTCATTCTCTCACATGAGCCAACAGTGAAAACTTCACTTTTGGAAAAATTGCATTTTTACTGTTTTATTAAACATCCTCATCATTACTAAGCCATATTCTGCCAGACATGTTTTCCCAAGCATCAGACAAACCTCATCAAAAACTTCAGCCTATGGGTGACGTTAYTGGTTACTCACAAATAATTGCTAAGGGAACATGAAGCCTTACCAGCAGTGGAACCTGGCACGGAAGGAAAATCCCACTGCTTGGGTCAGCACGCCCAGTGTGTCCCATCCTCCTCTCCATGCCCACCAGTGGGGCAATGGCCCCAGGATACTTTCCTCCCCCCACCGATTGAAGGCGCCGTGCAGCTCACAGCTTGGAATGGTGCCAGGGCAGAGTCAGCCCTACCCCCCGTGTACCAAGGCCATGTGCCCAGAGTGGGGCACTTGGTGAAAAGAGATGCATTTACTGAGATCCTCAGCACGTTTATAACTCGTGTCAGGACATTTGGACACAGTAACAGATCCCAGMCTCTTCTTTGAATCAGAAGAGCCACATTTGAGGTTTGAAGGCTCACTAGAAGCTTTAGTCTGCCATTTAGATGGCAACACCACCCTGCTTAACCATTCTCCCTCAGGGTGGGAAGCACAATGCAGTCCTCAGTTTCTTGGGGTCTRCACAAGTCCGCCTGACCTCTCAGATGTGTGTGCCCCGCCTCTCTCTCCCCCGGAGCCTGACTTCAAGTGTGGCAGTGCCCGGAGGGCAGTGCTGCCCCGCAGAGCGCATACCATACCGCGGGGCCAGCACAGCCCTAGAGGGACTGCACCCTGCTGCTGTGCTTCACCGGGCAATGTTCCAGCGGGAACCGGCCTGCAGGAGGGATTGTGGCTGCCACCCCAGTGCACTGCGCTCCTGTCGGCACGGGAGCTGCGCCTGTCAGCAGGCCCCATCCTGAGTACTGATATCCTGAGGTTGGGCTGTGAYGGAATGTCTTCTGTTCTGCTGCCACATTCTGTTGCCTCAATTTCCCTGTAGGCCTTAATTTGTGGGTTTGGGATCCCATTTTTTTATGCACTAAAAAAGAAGGTTGGGAACTGCACAGCCAGACTCTAATATGCCAAAACCCCGCATTAWCTTTCTGATTTGATACAGGTTTTTAAGCAATAGAGCACTTCAAGTTATCACATATGCTGTTCTACTGTCCGTGAGACCCTAAGATAACTTTGCATTCCCTCTTCCCTTCCTCCTGAAATACAAGACCAAGCTTCACCCTTGCTAATGGAAGCATCCACAGGAGGGTGGGCACCATTTCTTATCGTTCCCGTACACTGCACAGGCGGTGTCAGCCCCAAAACAGCCCCTGGTACCCTTGGAGGATCTCTTACCCTGAGGCCGGCTGTCTAAAGCCCCTGTGACCCTCCGCCCTCAGCAGCCCCGCCCGCGGAAGCCCCTCCCTCCCTCCCTCGCTCCCCGGCGCGGCGCGGGACTCACTGCGCAGCAGGACGCGGCCGAGGAGGCGCTGCCCCCGCTCCAGGGCGTTGCAGTCCCAGCGGTGCCGGCGGAACTGGTGCTGGCACTCGGCCGTCCAGGCGGCCACGCCGCGGCCGATGGACAGCATGGCCTCGGGGTGCCGGCGGCACAGCTGCCGCTGCCGGCTCACCAGGCCCGGCACGTTGTCGCACATCACCCGCGACGAGCCCACGGCGCCCATGTACCTGCGGGAGGGAAGGGGCAGGGCAGCACGGGGGACCGCGGCGACCCCCAGGCACCGACTCGGGGCAAGGAAGGTCCTCAGCGCCCCGGAGCCTTCGTCGGGCGGGTCCAGAGCTGTAGCTACCTCTGCCTTTTTGGTGGAAATCCTTTACAATTAGTCACCGACCCTGTGTTTTATTTTTTAATAACGTGAAGCATTCAGGAGAACCCCGAGCCCCGCTATTGCAGCTCCGTGCAGTACTTAAAAAAAAAAAAAAAAAACCTTGACAAAAATTAAATTACATCATCTGTATCCAGATGGTCTCTATTAGTCCTGAAACGTTTCGAAAGGTACCTTTCATAAAACCCAAACTTCTATAGGTGTCTTTTGAAGGGATCAAGCAGAAGAAAATGTCCTTTTCTTGTATTTTCATTATTTAATACCATCATAAAATCGTTAAAGCCGTGATTTACAAAAAGTATGTACTTAAGTGGAATTTAGAAGACACCACGACAAAAAAAAATCGCAATAAATAACGTTTATAAGGACACAGACATTCATTTTATTGAAATATGCTCAGTCTGATAAATCAGGCTTTGATCGCACGTTAGCCCGTGTCCAGGTTAAATTTGCTCCCCAGGATTACAAGAAGGGGTTTAATTCCTCTCCTACACCAAGACTTTTCAGCCTGGGTTTGGTTAGGGTCCCCAGCTTGAGGGGCAGGTTTATGTTTCCATTCTAACACGCTTTTCAGCGAGCTGCCTGAGACTCCCAACACCGACATCAACTATCACTTGAAGCCGGGCTCTGCCCTTCCCGCAGGGCTCTCAACCCTCTGCCCTGGCAGTTTGCAGTTTAGCGAGGAGAAACTGTGAAGGAGGGAGGGGCGGAGGAGGGCGAGGAAGAAGGAAAAAAATTAATAATGAAAAAATTGCGTTTCTGTAGCCAATTCCCAGCGCCGCCGGGGCGCGGAGGGGCGGCTGCCAGCAACAGCGCTTCGCCCGCGCCCCTCGGGCGTGTTCCCCGCCCGCCTCCCTGCCCTCCTCCCGCTCCCTCCGCGGCCCCGCCGCCCTGGGCAGCACCGGCCGGGCGGTGCCCGCTGCCCCCGCCGGGCTGCATCCCCCGCACCGCTGCCGAAAACCCCGCGTAGCCCCCGCAGTTGTGCTGTGCTTATACGGAGGGGGAGGTAGGGGAGCGGGGAAGGGGTGTGGAAGGAGGTGCTGGGACCGTCTAAATCCGCTCGCTTTAAGGCCGGGCTTTCTGGACCGAGGCAGCTGGCAGCAGCGAGCTCCGCTTGTGCGAGACTGAGAAGGGAGAGGCTTCCCCCACCTCCCCTAATTCACAATTAATCCGACCCCACCTTCCCCAAGAGCAAATAAAAATTTCTGGAATTGCACAGCTTACCACCATGAGGAGGTGACTCGTGGGGTCGCCCAGACCAAGACCAAGGGAAGAGACCACCAGATCCCAGGGAGAAAGTTCATGTTAGAAACGCTTTGGTCCACATCAGGTCAGTTGCGGGGGGCAGAAGAAATCCCATGGAGCAACAAGGACGAGCAGGGGTAAACGCGCCTGAAGGCCACTTCTTTCCCACAGGTCAAGCGCTTTCGCATCCCCACGCGCGACCGCAGGGCTTACTGATCCGCTCCCGGGATACGGGGGATGCTGGATGATGCATCGCTCTGGATTCCTCTCGGTTCGCCCTGCACCAAATCCCTCAGGACATGGAGTTCAGCCCCGCTCCCAGCCTTCATCTTTGCCCCGATCCAGCTCTTCCCTGCAGTCACGGCAAAACTGAGGGGCTGGTGTGGGCTGCTCTCGGACTGGGTGGGTTCTGCTTTGGTTGGTGGTTTTTTTTCCTCTGAAACTCTGATGGATGAAATGATGTCAAGAGACACTGGGGGAAGAGGAGGAGGTAACACCTCTGATTAGGCAAGGAATCCCGAGGAGCCAGTTGCTTTCCAATAACCCTACAAGCAGACAGTGAGTTCAAACCCGCCAGCAGATGCTACACGACCCGCAGAGCCGGCGGCGGCCCCGGGAGGCTGTTACAGACCGGCGGCACTTGCTTGGCATCTCTCGGGGTTTGGCACGACGGCACTTCATGCCTCGGTACGCGCACCCGCGAACACCGAGCACGGAACGGAACCGCGAAAGAAGCAGAGAATCTGAGCAGTCCCGGTATGGGGTGGGTGCCGCCCGCCGCCTCCCCTCGCCCTGGGCCCCGCAGAGTCGGGCCGGCTTCTCCGCGGGCACCGGCGCCGGGCGCCTCCCCGCTGCACGACCCCGCACCGCGGGGACCCCGGGCCCATGGGCTCCGACAGGAGCACGGGCTACGCGCCTCATCGCGCTTCAATCCCGGGACGGGGGATCCCGCTGCCGCCGCACCGCTCCCCGGCCCGAGAGGCGACCGTCCAACAGAGGGTCCATGCGGCCGGGGTTGGAAGCAAACCCAAGAATAAGGGATTTAGCAACTTTTTCACTTCGTGTCATCTCTGCAAAGCAAATACAGGGTAACATATATTCTAAACAATGAAACCTCATTATCAAGGTGGAAATGCTCCGTTTCCACTTTTTCAGCCCTCCTTGGCTGAAAAAAAAAGACAAACGCCGAAGGTTGCTAAGTGAGTTAGGGACTTAAACAGCTCTTGTTACTAAAAGATGCCTGCAGTTGTCAACTTCAGGTGAAAATGCTGGAAGAGCAAGCTAGGAAGCACTTGTTCAGAGCTGTTCTTCAGGCAGTATATTACAGCCATGCCTGTGTGCAGAGCAGACATCATTCTCCTGTTTCTCAGTACAACTTCTCAAGATCACAGACCTAGAACTAGATCTAAGCATGTACCATTTCAGAAAGAAAATGCAAAAGGTAGAATTATGTGAACTTTTGAGGTGRTAACATTCATGCACTTAACAACTTGAAAGAAATACCCCAAATCTRCAGAAGTCAACATCCAACACCCACCCACACTGCAATGTCAAAATCTTTCAACTGCAAAAGACTTCCAAGTAAGAATAACTGAAGCTTGAGACACATGAATGCTTCTCCATCAGTACTTGTCCAGAGGCAACTACAGCTCCTCTTACTAACTCCAGCAGATCTTAAAAACAACAGATGAGCACTCAGAATCTATTTGATAAAGTATAATCCATGTGTAAAAAAACTCAGATTTTTAACTTCTGGACAATTTCTTTCTTACATTTACAATACACTTTGGATCAATTAGCCGAGTAGAGAAACATCACTGAGAGGACAGCAAATTCCAGCAGTATTTTAGACCCATACAAACTGCTACAATCCTCCCTCCTACCAGCTTTCTCAGGCTTACAGTAAAAAATGAGTTCTTAGAATTTCTCATACCCTTTTGTATGAACAGGAGTTCCTTCACCTGTGGCTACTGCACAAGAGGCTTATCAATGGTGTCCTTTTCTTCTCCATAAGACATTTACTACATCTGCATTCCAGATTTATTGCTATTCAGATTCTTCCTCCAAGACCTCCACTTTGTGCCGGCCCTATAGAAGTTCACCTTGGATCCATTATTTCTATTAACCACCATGCTCTCATCATACAGAATGGCAAAACAGGCAAGTTTGGAAAGGAACCTGGGGGACCACATTGGGTTTGCAAGACCAGGTTAGGTAGCAGGAGGGCTACAGGGGTGGTTTCTGTGAGAAGCTACCAGAAGCTTCCCATGTTTGACAGAGACAATGCCAGCCAGCTCCAAGAGCCTGCCACTGGCCAAAGTCAAGGTCATCAGTGACGGTAGATGCACTTTTGGGACCACTATTTGATAATGTGAAAAARCCCCTCTGCAACTGAGCCAAAGAGAGTGTTAGACAATGTGAGAGGACCAGCTGTGGAGACACCTAGGCCAGAGAAGAACAAGAGAAGATGCTCCAGCTGCCAGAGCAGAGATTCCCAAGCAGACCATGGTGAGTCAGGCTGTGCCCCAAAGGTCCATGGAGGAGCAGAGACCCACCTGCAGCCCTAGGAGAAGCGCTTGGTGGACTGAAGATGGCTCTGMCCCTGTGGGAAGCCCATGCCAGAGTAGGTTCCTGGCAGGACTTGGACCCACAACAGAGCAGTCTGTTCTGGAAGGACTGCACCCMTGGAAGGGGCCCATGCTGGAGCAGTGAACAACTGCAGACTGTGGAAASGACTCACGTTGAAGACATTTGTGGAGGACTGTCTCTCACAAGGGAATGCTGGTTCCTGATGCAGCCCTGGAGAGCCTGCTGGCTACCCTTGCTGTAAGAACAGACAATCAAGAAAGCTGTAGGTGTCTTCAGCAAGTTTTATGTGCAGTTTCTCAAACAGTTAAGAAACCAGGCCATGACAGTGGAGTACCCAGAGCACTGAATTTTTCTGCATACCCTCTGAAATCAAGCAGAGGTTTTTCAATACAATAATGAAAATAATGTAGTTAAACCTGTATTTCTACATTCAAATAAAGACTGTTTTCAGGAAAGCTGAAGGCATGGAAGGCTCATCTGAGAAAATTTTAAAAGAAAAATCCMACCAAACCCTTAAGTAGAACACATCTTCCCACATACATTACAGCCAGTAGCACAGCTTACAAGAAGTGAAAATCATGCCCCAGAGGAATCTGTGGAAGTCCTTCCAGAGACTTCCAGGGACTGTATTATATAAAACTACACTATTTGGATCAGGATCAAAAATAGAAGTAATTTATCAGCTATTAAAACTGTTAAGGACACCCATCACATAATTCATTCCCTGTCAGTAATACCCCATGTCACATTTTACTCATATCTAAATACAGCCCTATTACCTGGAAATTCCTATTTCTGGAATAGGGAAATGCAAATTTTCAAATATACACTTCCCCCATGCCTCCAGAACAAAAATGACAGTACATATCTTTATAAGCAGAAATCTGCACTTCTGATACCTGTCACATCTTCAAAGCTTTTTATCTGTACATAAAGATCCAAAGCAACATTTGTAAACATTACTAGTAACACAGGAGCTTCATTTGGAAAGATGACCTGTAGCTTTTGCAGAACTGGTGGAATAGAGAAGGAAAATGCAAACAAACCCTGGTCAGCTTATGAAGAAGTGACAGTTTTGGGGAACACCTGAAGAGGTTCAAAGACGGCAAAAGAAAGAATAATAAATGGCATATTTTAAGTCTTGTCCTCAATAAGGCACTTGGATGAAAAAAAAAGACAAATCAAACACATGCCTGAAGTCAATCGAGTGTAATAAAAAAAAAAGCTCACTCTTCCTCAGTTTAAGAACACACATACCCCAAACTACTCTTTATTAGTTGTAATTGGCTAACACGAACAATTGGGTAATGCCTTATGAGAAACCAGATACTGCACAAGTCAAATTGAAAGAGCAGGGCAAATCCCAAAGCACAGGAGACACCACACACATAAACCACAGTGTACCTTAGAAAGATTTTTAAAAAAACCCAAACAATCCTTGCAGCTCTTTCAGATCTCCACAGGATCACCCAAGGCCCTAATTTTACATAATAGTCTAAAGATTCAGAAAAGGCCATTGTATGAAGTCATCCCTATGAAGACAAGTTAGGTATCCAATGACTTTGCAAGTAGGAACCTTGGGCATCTTTAAGCAACTAGGTATCCACAAAGGATTTGGCCCGAGGTCCAATTCACTCAATCCTCAGCACCTCTATTTACACTACTGTAGGAGGAAAACAACAGCAGCAGGGCTGTGCAGCTTACCTGCTTAATACATGCAAAGCTCTTTAGCATTCTCCTCCAATCCCCTCATAGATGTGCAAATCTTTGTATTCTTACCATTGGGGGGAAAATGACTGCAATTTGATGACTTGCAGAAGGAAACCTCTCAGCAGGGACATTTTCATATGAAGGCTCCCTTAGGAGGTGCTGGTGGGGGWAAGAATTCTGACAGTGTCGATCAGAGGCCAAATGTTGAAGGGATCTCTTTCTTTGCTTCCTGCCCTATCATCACCATATTGTGACACCTTGTCAGAGAATTTGAAAGAGGCACTGCAACAACATGAAAGTGAATACAGGATCCTGAAACTCATTGTTTAAGAGTTTGGAATCCAAGAAGGTAAATACATGGGGTTTTTTTTGGTTTTTTTTTTTTAATATGGTAGGTTAAAATAATTGTTCATTTGACTCTGAACATGTCGTCTTCATGTAACGCAGTTCCTGATTGATCAGTTAATGAAAACAGCTTAAAGTGGTTACTCCAAGACCCTTGCTTCTTGTGAATGGTTTATGGAATTCAGATCATCACACTTGAACAGCGCAGGATGCCAAGGATGCTGCTGGCACAAAGCCTATGCTTAATTCAAATGATGCTCACATGTGTGTCGGCAATTGTGACTATAAGCACCAGAAGCAGGTGATCCATAAGATAATTCAAAAGGACCAGCTTCTTCCAAACGTATTTTGGAGGTCATCTCTTGAAGTTCAGACCTTYGACTCACTTCTGCAAAAAACACTTTATTATAACTCTCACACTAGGAAAAAAAATTACCAGCATTACTTTTTCCCTCCTAAGTATTTTACACCAAAAGCATTTAATTAAATACTGATAAAACTTCTCTGGAGCAGCTACTTTGTCCAACTGCAAAACCTCCAAGTTAAGTTTAAAAGACCTCCATATGACCAGACTTTTTCTTCAAATTGATGGGAAAAAAGTTTAAATTTTTACTGTCTCAAATGTCAAGATTGACACATCTTTTGAAAATGAAGCTATATTATGTGTCCTTTGCAGTGGCTTTGTCAATATAAATTGTCACTTA